TTTTTTTTTTGCCAGGCCTGGGGCTTGAACTCAAGGCCTGGGCACTGTCCTTGAGCTCCTTTTGCTCAAGCCTATCACTCTACCACTTGAGCCACAGCACTACTTCTGGCCTTTTCTATTTATGTGGTACTGAGGAATCAAACCCAGGGCTTCATGCTTGCTAGGCAAGCACTCTACCACTAAGCCACATTCCCAGCCCTCTTGGGATTATTTTTATTTCCTGAGTTACTGAGGACTGTCTCTTAAGTAAAAAACAAACAAACAAGCTGGGTGCTAGCAGCTCACATCTGTAATCCTAGCTACTCAGGAAGCTGAGATCTGAGAATTACTGTTTGAAACCAGCCTGGGCAGGAAAGTTCATGAGACTCTTATCTCCAATAAACTACTGAGAAAAAGCTGGAAGTGGTACCGTAGCTCAAGTGGCAGAGTGCAAGCCCTGAGAAAAAGAATCTCAGGGACAGTGCCCAAGCACTGAGTTCAAGTCCCAGGACCCACACAGAAAAACAACAACAAACAAAAAATCTCATTGTCATCCTTAAATACCAAAATCTCTTAACTATTTCTTTTCTTTCTTTCTTTTTTTGTTGGTTGTGGGGCTTGAACTCTGGGCTTAGGCACTGTCTCTTAGCTCTTCAGCTCAAGTCCAGCACTCTACCACTTGAGCCACAGTCCCACTTCCGGTTTTCTGAGTGGTTCATTGGCAATAAGAGTCTCACAGACTTTCCTGCCCAGGCTGGCTTTGAACTGTGATCCTCAGATCTCAGCCTCCTGAGTAGCTAGGGTTACAGGCATGAGCCACCAGTGCCTGGCTATTGTTATTTTTATAGCTATGGAGGGGGGTATTGAGACAGGATTTCCCTAGATAGTATGCCTTGAACTCCTAATCTTTCCGCCTGGTCTCTGGAGTGCTAGGAATATAGATGTATGCCAGTACACTCTGCTTAACAAACCTTTTTTTCTTTTTTTTTAAAGGTTAGGTAATAAATATTTTAGGCTTTGTAGACCATAGTTTTTGACTCGGCTACTAACTCTGCTATTATAGTACAAATGACTGTGTCAGTATTCTAATGAAACTTTCTTTAAAAAAAAAGTAGGGACCAGATGTAACCTGAAGGCTAAAGTCTACCAAAAATTTTCCTTGACAATCCTGGGGCTTGAACTCAGGGCCTGGGTACTGTCCGAGATTCTCTGCTTTTTTTTGCTCAAGGCTAGCATTCTACCACTTGAGCCACAGCACCAATTCCAGCTTTTTCTGTTTAGGTGGTATTGAGGAATTGAACCCAGGGCTTCATGAATGCTAGGCAAGCACTCTACCACTAAGCCACATCCCTAGTCCCCCTGAACTTATTTTGCTCAAGGCTAGTACTCTACCACTTGAGTCACAGTGCTACTTCTGGCTTTTTCTGTTTATGTGGTACTGAGGACTCAAACCCAGGGCTTAATGAATGCTAGGCAAGCACTCTACCAATAAGCCACATTTTCAGCCCTAGGAATTTATTTAACTACAAAAGTGGAAATAGTTTAGATATAGTTAATAGGCATTAGTTATATAACTGTCAAACTTTCAACACACTCGAACAAAGTTAGGTAATCATTTTAAAGTGTTTTAGCTAATTTTTTTTTTGGCAATAGCTAAATCTTTATGCGTCTGTATTATTATTTCCTCAGGAAGACCTGGCTTATGTCTTGCCTCCATCAACTCAAGATGTGGGACTTCACAGAAAGGAAGGCAACACTGCAGCCATCTGCACACCTGAACAGGTATCACTCAGTATTTCAGTGATAATGGGACCTCACATATATATATATATATATATATATATATATATAAAATAAATGATTTGTAAAACAAATCAAAGCTAGTTGGGCACCAATGTTCTATATCTGTAACTAGCTACTCAGAAGGCTGAGATCTGAGGATCAAGGTTTGAAGCCAGCATGGGCAAGAAAGTCCATCAGATTCTTATCTCCAATTAACTACCAAAAAGTCAGAAGTGGAGCTGTGGCTCAGGTGTTAGAGAATTAGCCTTGAACAAAAAGAGCTACTCAGGACTGAGATCTGAGGATCACAGTTCAAAGCCATCCTGGGCAGGAAAGTCCAGTGAGACTCCCATAACCACTCAGAAAACAGGAAGTGGTGCTGTGGCTCAAGTGGTAGAGCACTAGCCTTGGGCTGAAGAGCAGAGGGACAGTGCCCAGGCTCAGAGTTCAAGCTCCATGACTGACCAAAAAAAAAAAGAGAGAGAGAGAGCCAGGCGTCGGTGGCTCCCACCTGTAATCCTATCTACTCAGGAGCCTGAGATCTAAGAATCATGGTTCAAAGCCAGCCTGAGCAGGAAAGTTCGTGAGACTCTTATCTCCATAAAGCACCAGAAAACCAGAAGTGGTGCTGTGACTCAAGTGGTAGAGCTCTAGCCTTGAGTTGAAGAGCTGAGGGACAGCGTTCAAGCCCCACCACCACTACCACCACCACCAACAAAAAAGAGCTCAAGGACAATGCCCATGCCCAGGGTTCAAGCCCCAGGACTAGCATCACAAAATAAAACAAAAGCTGATCACTGGTGGCTCACACACTAGTTACTCAGGAGGCTTAGATCTGTGACCACAGGTCTGAAGGATCACAATCTGAAGCCAGACTGGGCAGACAAATCTGTTATCTAAATAACCAGCAAAAAAAATGGGTTGGAGGCTGACTAAAGTAGTAGAGCCTCAGCCATGAACAAAACCCCTGAGTTCAAGCTCTAGTACCAGCCCCTCCCTACTCTACTGTAGACTTCTAACTTCCTCCTGTGTGACTTATGTCCCCAGCTTCGTGTCAAGGGCAAACCTCTGTCACTTACTCCTTTCTTTATACAGATAACGTAACTTTAGTTTAAATATTCCTGATATAAGCTGTTCCTACCTATTGTTTTTCTTGTCATTAACAAGGATCAGAATGTTTCTCATTTCTTACTTTACATCAAATTCTATGGTTCTTACTGGGATTTCTTCATTCTTGCTATTGTTCTGAGTAATTCTACAATAAAAAATGAACTTTATTACTAAAATATATAATCTGCTATTAATTAATCCCCCAAGACATTCCATAAAGAAAAAGAACAAGCCAGGTGCCAGTGGCTCACACCTGTAATCTATCTCCTCAGAAAGTTGAGATCTGAGATTTGAAGTTCAAAGCCAGCCTGGGAAGAAAAGTAAGATTCTATCTCCAATCAGCCAGCAAAAACACTAAACTAGAGGTGTGGTTCAAATGACAAGAGTGCCAAAAAAGTAAGTGAAAGCACAAAACAGAGTGAAAAAAATAAGTAAAAGCATAAGGTACTGAGTTCAAGCCCCAGTACTAGGACAGGAGAAAAAGAAAAACTAAGTTTCATCTGATTTCTACATCTGATAAGCGGTACTTAGCCCAAGATCTGAAAAGAGCCCATTTGTCAGGTAGAAATTGCTTGCTACTCTCTGCCTGCCTGGAATGATTCTGACTCCCAACACCCCGGTGAGCTGATTGCCCTCACCTCCAAAAGCAAGCCAGAGGAAGAGTAACCAGAGGAAGAGAGGGAGGCAGGGCAGAGAAGGAGTTACCTGAGTAGGTGTAGACTCAGTTGTCTGTATCTGAAAGTTCTGAGAGGGCTTCTGAGGGACGGTGGGGAGGGTGGCAGATGCAGCCTGCACCACTCGCAGTGCCTGCTGGGGGATCTGCACCACCTGCTGCTGTTCAGCCTTGGGGGGCACCACTTGCACCTGCTGGACCACAGCTGGCTGGCCCCCACCTGGGCTTTGAACAATGAGCAGGTTGTTTCCTGCCTGGATGATGTTGTCTGCTGTGGTCTCAATCAGCACCGTTTCCACCTGCTCAGCTACAGCCACTGGCGGCTGGGAGACAGGAAGGGTCTTCTTCCTGACTTTCTTATTAGTCTTAGACAGAGGCACAGGAGGGCTTTCGGTCAGAAGCTGAGTGGCAGCCCCTGCATCGCTGGCATTCATCAGGTTGTTGACAGGTAGAGTGAGCGTCACATTGCCACCCCCTCCCGTCAGCTTCACCACATTGGCCCCACTCTGCACTGGAGTGGTAGTTGTACTAGACTTCTGGACAGGGGCTGGCTTGATGGGGACAGGCTTGTTGTGGCTGGATGGTGAGGGGGTGATGATGGCTTGGTTAGTACCAGGGATGATCTGAATCTGGTTGGTGAGATTGGGCTGCACCTGGATGGTTTGGGAACTGCTTGCCTGAATCTGAGGGACTGTCTGGTACTGGATATTTGTGTTGGATCGAGTCCCTTTGTTGATCATGGTGGGATTCTGGATAGCAAAAACCAGCTGGCCTCCAGGATAGGAGGTACTTAGCTGTGAGCCCTGAATCTGCAGTATGTTTCCTTTGGAGGACAAGATGCCGAAGCTATTCTTGCTGGGACTGAGGGGCAGAGGGGCAGGTTTGATAGGGACCAGTTTCCTTGGTGTGGGCTGGGGTGGAGCAGGAGGTGTCACCGCAGCTTCAACTGCTGGTGGGCCAATTTTGCTACATGTTGCAGCAAGCAGGGCCAATGGGGATGGCTGAGAGTCCTGAAAAAGCATCAAAAGGAAGGAGTGAGACTGAAGTCTGTGACTAGCCACCTCTCTTCACCGCAACATTCCCCCACCCCACCCCACCCCCACACACATACACTCTAGCTCCTGTTGGTTTCTCCATGAGGCTAAGGGAGAAAACATGGGAAATGACTTTCTCTGGAAGGAACTCTCCAGAAGCAGTCCCTGGCCAGGGTGAACTAACAGTGTCAGCCAGCAATTTCTCCTGCTGACCCTGTATTATAGCAGGGACGGTGCTACACCTGCAGGTCTCAAATTGGGTTCTGTGGGCCCACCATACAAAATTGGGGGCAAGGAGTTAAACAGGAAGGACAGACACTTTAGTATGTTTTCTAGGGATGGTAATTATGTTCCCTGGACTGAGAAGGGCTGTTCTGGAGGCAGCAGCGACAGGACAGGTTCTAGCTTAACTCTGAGCTGAGCTTAACTCTGGTCTTTCCACCTGACCCACTTTGGTACCTTAGGCAAATGACTATTGCTTCTTGGATAACAGAACCTTCCCAAGACTCATGTACTAGGATGTTTACTGTAAGAGAATGGAAAGGATTTTCTTTTCCTTTTTTTTTTTTTGGTTGGTTGTGGGGCTTGAACTCTAGGCCTGGGTGCTGTCCCTGTGGTCTTCAGCTCAAGGCTAGCAATCTACCACTTAAGCCACAGCGCCATTTCTGGTTTTCTGAGTGGTTTATTGGAGGTAAGAGTCTCACGGACTTTCCTTGCCCGGGCTGGCTTTGAACCGCGATCCTCAGATCTCAGCCTCCTGAGTAGCTAGGATTATAGGCGTGAGCCCCCAGCGCCTGGCTTGGAAAGGGTTTTCTGAGTGTGGTGAATGTCGTCCAAGCAGCCTGCCCTCAAAGCCCACTGCCCACTTGCCTGGGTGGTGGCGGCTGGCTGCAGGTAGTCACTGGGACTGACAGCAGCAGTGGCAGCCATGCTCGTCTGTGGATCTGTTGGAAGAAAAGATACGGAGTAATGCAAAAGACAGAGAACAGAAAAGATCCCAAGGCTCAGTTTGTTAATGGTACTGGGGTTTGAACTCAAGGTCTTGGGTTTGCTAGGTAGATACTCTACTACTTGAGCCATGCCCCCGCCCTTGTTGCTGCTTCTCTGAGAGAGAGATTAAACAGCCTTCTCCCCATGTTTCCACTTTAGGGTGGCAGTCCAGCACTTGTCAGTAGACCTCCTCTACTCACACTCAAGTCTCTAAGCCTATATATGGACAAAATGGGGCAATTGTTCTCTTGTACTTTTCTGGAGGATGGTAGTGGTAGTACTGGGTTTTGAACTCAGGATCTTGTGCTTGCTATGCAAGTATGCTACCACTGGAACCATATTTCCATTTTTTTCTGGTTATTTTGGAAATTGGGGGGGAAGAGGGTTAGTGAACTTTTTCTTTCCAGGCTGGCGATGAACTGCCATATTTCTCAACTTTCTGAGCAGCTAGAATTACAAGCATGAGTTGGTGGCACCTAGCTTTAGTAATTTCCTTTTAAAAATGAACAGGTGCCAAAGATCACTGGGGACTGTTCTTTAACCACATCCTACACATTGTAGGGCCTGTGTGTGTTTATAAGCATAGTCCTATAGTTTCAGGGGCTAATGAGGAGAGTTTCATTCTGTACATTCAACCCATGATACACCTGTGCAAAGGAAAAGGTAACATCTTTCTCAGAAGCAATGGAGACCTGTGTCACTTGGCAAAGGTACACTGCAGGGTAGGCGTACAGGGGGCCCAACGAGTCCAGTCTGTACAATACATGACTGAAGGCAGTAACTGGTTCCACCAGATATCCTCTAAGAATGTTGTTGATTTTAGTTTTACTAGCTTTTTATAGTTATTTGTTAGTTTGCTTTTGCTTTTCTTTTGAGATGGAGGTCTCATTTTGTAGCCAAGGCTGGCTTCAAACCCTTCTGTCTCAGTCTCCCAACTGCTGGGATTACAAATAGGGACTACTACCCCCGCTTTAGTTTGAGGTTCTTATAAAATTAAGTAAAATTAACATTTTAGTGAGCTAATGTAAGTCAACCCCCAAACACCTTTTCCTTTAGAGCACTGTTGTTCAAACTGTTAGACCATGAGCCACAGTTATAAAAATAATTTATTTTGGGGCTCAGGACATAGGTTAATAATTAGTACTTATTTAGCATGCACAATCCAAGCAACACACACATGCTCACACACACAGTAATCAAAATAACTTACTTCAAGACCTAGCATGCATGCATGCACTTATGCACACACACACACTCATGCAACAAATCCCTGTCCTGTGCTCATATAGGAAAAGTTGGCTGAAATAAGACTGAAAGAGTGGTTCAGATGGTACAGCACCTGCCTACCAAGCAAGCATGACACCCTGAAATCAAACCCAGTACCACCAGAAGTTTCCTGAAACAAAATTTGTACTTACTACCATGTGATTTTGAAATTTTTCTGCTTTATATTAAAAGTGCTGATTGTGACCCATTAAACTGCTTTTATACTTAACTAGCTGAAAAATACAGCTTTGGTCTATATACTACCAAAGTTTGAGAAAAAGTAAAAAGATCTAGAAAGTGAGTTAAATTGGCAGATATCATAGAACTTCAAACAATGGGTGTATTAGGGTGAAAGGTTGGCATAATACTAAGAGTACCAGGCTTTAGAATTCAGATTGAATTCTAAGTGAGACTTCTGACTGTGGATCCATCCACTAGTGTGGTGGTCAGGTGCTCCTTTCAGATTTACAGCACCACCATCTTCAGGGTTTCTGTGAGGCTCCAATTACTTACTCAAAAACATCAAGCACAGGGCCTGGCATATGGTGGATAATCAGTATATGGCAGTATAAAGTTTAGTAAATCCTGCACTAAGGTCAAACAACAAGAACAGGCCAGGTGCTGGTGGCTCATGCCTGTAATCCTAGCTACCCAGGAGGCTGAGATCTGAGGCTTGTGATTCAAAGCCAGCCCAGGCAGAGGAGACTGATTTCCAGTTAACCACCAGAAAACCAAAATTGCACTGTGGCTCAAAGTGGCAGAGTGCTAGCACTGAATAAAAGAGCTCAGGGTCAGGCTCTGAGTTCAAGCCCCATAACCACCACCACCAACAACAAAAACAAGAACAGGCTAGACACCAATGGCTCACACCTATAATCTTAGCTACTCAAGAGGCTGAGATCATGGGGCTAGGAAGCCTTGCATGCATGGGGCCCTAGGTTCGATTCCTCAGCACCACATAAAGCAGAAAAAGCCGGAAGTGGCGCTGTTGCTCAAGTGGTAGAGCACTCGCCTTGAGCTAAAGAGCTGAGGGACAGAGCCCAGGCCCAGAGTTCAGGCCTCATGACTGACCAAAAAAAAAACAAACCAAGAGGCTGAGATCAAAGCCAACCTGGGCAGGAAAGTCTGCTAGATTCTTTATCTCCAATTAACCACCAAAAAAAGCTGAAAGTGGAAGTGTGGCTCAAGTGGTACAGCGCTAGCTTTGAGCACAAAAGCTCAGGGACAGTGCACAGGCTTAGGACCAACATGCAAAAATAAATAACAAGAAGACAGAGCTTAACAGTACTTGTCATGTAAAAACAAAACAAAACAAAAATTAGTGGCTTTTGACTCAAAGCTAAATGAGAACCAGTAGAATCTACATATGATTGCCAAAGAAGCTACTACAATCTTGGACTGCATTTCTAGAAACTTAATCATAGAACAAGAGAAATCATAGTCCCAATGTATTATGCATATCAGGCCATGTCTAGAGAGTCAGGTCGTGTGTGCTTTGAGGGATATTTCCAAAGGGGGATTTTTAACTGGAGCTGATTTAAAGGAAAGCAGCAACGGTTGTAGCCAGGGTATGTGGGTAGGGACATTCACTGGGGTACTTGTTTCATACAGTTTCAAAGGGTTGAATCAAGACATCAGAACAAACATTGTAAAGATTTCAGTTTAATTTAAGAGAACTTTTAAGCGATGGGATCAATTGCCTTTGGGGGTAATGTTCTCTCTCTCTGGAACTGGTTAACCAGATGAAGGATATATGTTTCTGTTGGAGATGGGATAGGAAATCAAAGCAAATAATTCTTAAGATTTCTATACTTTTGGGGGACTGGGTGGATATAGCTCAGTGGAATGGCAGTAGCCTAACATGTGCAAGGCCCTGGAAGTGATGCCCAGCACGAAGAAAAAAGAGAAAAAAAAGTAAGATTTTTACATTTTTCATGTTGCTGATAAAAACAGGAGATAGGTGCTGACAGGGCTGAGAAGGCAGATGAGACCTCCTAGGAGACATGTTGGAGCTCTCAAGTTCACAGCTAAACTTGGTCAGTGACTCTCCCTCAGTCAGACACCATCCTGTGTTATGAAACTGAGGAACACAGAACAAGACAGAATGAAAATGAAATGAAAACTGACCCAGCACTTTCTAATTATCCCCCCTTCCCACAAGGCAGTCATTAATTACCCTGGACTCAAAGCGTTTAGAGACCCCGCTGGGTGCTGGGCTTCTTCAGTTAAAGTAGAATCTACTGAGGCAAGCTGCAGACTGCAGGCTTCCATGCTGCGACATTTCAGTTTGGTTTCATTTTCCTCCCCGGCTGGTTCTGAAATACTCCTCTAGATATTAAAGCACTCTAAAGATGTCTCCTAGTGTCACTCAAAGCTTTATATTCCCTGGGCTGTAGACTTGAATGGTCAAAATAGAGACTACTGTCCCTGCCATGGCAGAATTATGTCCTGGAAAACCACTGAGAAAAGAGAAGGGAAAAAAGAAGTACTTCCAGTTAGTTTTTGGGAATGAAAGTGGATGAGAGGTAGCCAGATATGAAACTGCATGATTATGATCAAAGGTACCGTGAATCCTCATTAATTTGGAACCTTTTTATTTAAAATGTATAATGTGATATAAATTATACTTAACTTTTCCTTTATACTATTGAAAGCACAGCTAAGTATATGAAGATAAGACTCAGGCGTAGTTATGTAATTGTTTTATACCACTTCTACCATTTTAACAGTATCATTTGCTTTTAACAGCAATTAACATCTAGTTGTAGAAAACTACACTTAGTAACATTGATAAGATTTATCAGATCGGGCTGGGAAGGTGGCTCAGTGGTAGGGTGCTTGCCTTGCATGCATGAGGCCCTGGGTTTGATTCCTCAGCACCACATAAGCAGAAAAAAGCCAGAAGTGGTGCTGTGGCTCAAGTGGTAGAGTGCTAGCCTTGAGCTGAAGAGTTGAGGGACAGCACCCAGGCCCAGAGTTCAAGGCCCATGACAGGCAAAAAAAAAAAAAAAAAAGATTTATCAGATAGTCTTGAAAGAAAATACTGATCTCTTTCAAAGTTGTATTATTTACAGACTTTTCATTAATTCAGGTTGACTAAAACCTCCTCAACAGTCCCTAGGATGATGAAATTTTACAGTGAATTTTTTTTTGGGGGGGTCAGTCATGGGGCCTGAATTCTGGGCCTGGGCGCTATCCCTCAGCTCTTCAGCTCAAGGCTAGCGCTCTTCCACTTGAGCCACAGCACCCACTTCCGGCTTTTTCTGCTTATGTTGTGCTGAGGAATCATGCATGCAAGACAAACACTCTACCACTGAGCCACCTTCCCAGCCCCCCCTTTTTTTTTTGTCGGTGGTGGGGCTTGAACTCTGGGCTTGGGCGCTGTCCCTGTGGTCTTCAGCCCAAGGCGAGTGCTCCGCAGCTTGAGCCACAGCACCACTTTCGGTTTTCAAGTGGTTTATTGGAGATAAGTGTCTCACGGACTTTCCTGCCTGGGCTGGCTTTGAACCGTGATCCTCAGATCTCAGCCTCCTCAGTAGCTACCATTACAGGCATGAGCCACCGGCTCCCGGCTTTTACAGTGATTTTCTATACAATAGTAGTACATCTCTTAGGCCCCAAGAAAAACTAGAGGTATATAGAACAAGACTTGACAGTAGCATGAACAGACAGGTGCCAGGTGTCTAGTAGGACCATACTTACTCTAAAGAAGCTACTACAATCTTGGGACTGTATTTCTAAAAACTTAATCATGGAACAAGAGAAACCATAGTCCCAGTGTATTATGCATATCAGGCCATGTCTGGAGAGTCAGGTTGTGTGTGTTTTGAGGAACATTTCCAAAGGGGGATTTTTAACTGTTGCTGATTTAGAAGAAAGCAGCAATGGTGGTAGTCAGGATACCAGGGTGGGGACATTCACCAGGAATTTCCTTCCCCCATATTGGAAACCAACTGAACCTCAAGACTGACAGAAAAGCATCTAGTCTCCTGGCTCTTATCCTCCACCTCCACCACCTATTCTCTAGCACAGCCCCCCTCTTCCCTCTCTCCTAGGCCGAACTTGGTGTGGTGGATTGCTACCAAGTGGACTCTACAGTCTCCTCCCTACTTCTGCCCTACACTCTGTTGGCTGCTCCTGCTCAGGTCCCATCAACCTCCTTACTGCTACACCAAATCTCTATTGTTGTCTCCTCCCCGAAACGCCTATGGATTTTCTCCCACCTCTTCCCTTTGTGGACTCCCTTTTTTTTTTTCTGTCAGCTGTGGAACTTGAACTCAGGACCTGGGCACTGTCCTCGAGCTCTTTTGCTCAAGGCTAGCACTCTATGACTTTAAGCCACAGTGCCATTTCCAGTTTTTTTGTGTGTGTGGCTAATTAAAGAGTCTGTGAGACTTTCCTGCTTGGGCCAACTTTGAACAGCAATTCCTCAAATCTCAGCCTCCTGAGTAGCTAGGATTACAGGCATAAGCCATCAGCACCTGGCTATGGATTCTTTTCCTTGCCACCCCTAAAAATGTGGCGTGTTTTTTTCCCCCTTCACCCAACAAGCCACTCACAGTCAGTGTAGGCACCACTCCCATGGCATCAGGTTCCTACTATAGGCTGAAAGCTCTAAGGCCTCTCCAGTGCATACTAGTCTAGTACACCCAGCCCCGTGGGACTCTTATTTGGACTGGCCACAGACAACCCCAACCCTGAACATTTCCTCCTAGAGTTTCTCATCCCTAGCTTGAGGCCTCCTTCCCGACTCTAAAGGAGCCCTTATCTCTGCTGCTGCCCTTTCTTGTTAGAACATTTTGTCTTCCTTCAATCTTTCAGGGTTTTTTTTGTTTTTTTTTTGTTAGTTGTGGGGCTTGAACTTTGGGCATGGGGTCTGTCCCTCAGCTCTTCAGCTCAAGGCTAGTGCTCTACCACTTGAGCCACAGTGCTACTTCTAGTTTTCTGGTGGTTAATTGGAGATAAGAGTCTCGTAAACTTTTTTACCTGTACTGGCTTTGAACTGTGATCCTCAGATCTCAGCCTCCTGAGTAGCTAGGGTTATGGGCATGAGCCACTGCCACCCAGCTTTCAGGCTGTTTTGTGTGTGTGTTTTTCCCCCCAGTAAAATTTTTTTTTGGGGGGGGAGGGTCCGGTCGTGGGGCCTGAACTC